TGGCCTCAGGGGACTCTCTGGGGCAGGGGGTGGGTGATCCCGCTCTCGATGTACTCAAAGACGGTGTAGGGGTCCTGGTCCCCGTTGAGGGTGATGGCCTGCTTGTAGAACTCCTCCAGCTCAGCCGAGTTCCTGTAGAACAGGTCCATCTTGAACTTGACTTGCTCTTCGGCATCCTTGGGGTTCTGCCGGAGACGGGCCTGGACCTCCATGGTCGGAGGCGGCTTGTATATGAGGTGGTACCTGCGAGAGAGCAGGGGAGCAGGTGACCACAGTCCGCCCAGGCATCAGGGGAGGAGGGCCCTCTGTCCGACAGGGGCCGGGCTGGCCGCCGCCGCCGCCGCCACCACCAGGCATTTACTGCCACCGGCTTTGTGCGCAGCCTCGCTGGCACAGGAGCCACAGACCCGAAACCTGGTCCCGGCCCAGGGCAGAGGGAGGCCAACACCGGGACGGAACGGAACAGATGAGGTCCAAACCCGTCTTCCTTTCACTGCCTCCGTCTCCTCCCAAACACTGTTTATCCAGCATCTGCCCTGGCCTGTCACTGCCACTGACAACAGACAGACGCTACGCTGACGGAGCGCACAGTGAGACGGGGGAGGGACATTGTGACCACAGATGGGAGCGGAGATGGGGGAGACCCCAGGCCACATGAAGGCCATCGCACATGACATGGGTCACCAAAGGACTGTCCCCCCGCAGCCAGGAGGGGCGCACAGATCAGACCTGTAGTTTAGGAAAATCCTGGTATTTCTTTCCTGCCCCTCCTCACTCCACTCCTGGAGTGGTCCCGCGCCAGCCGGGCTGCGCACAAAGCCGGGCAGTAAATGTCTGGGGGGGGGGGGTGCTGGTGGTGGTGACCAGCTTGGCCCACAGTCGGACGGAGGCCCCTTCTCCCCTGCCACGTTGCCAAGAAACATGCTCCTAGTTACCGAGAAACATGCTCCTGGTTACCAAGAAACATGGTCCTGGTTACCAAGAAACGTGGCCCTGGTTGCCAAGAAACGTGGTCCTGGTTGCCAAGAAACGTGGTCCTGGTTGCCAAGAAACGTGGCCCTGGTTGCCAAGAAACGTGGCTTACCCAGGAGGATGGAAGCTTTACCCCTGTGTGACTGCAGGGCCTTGACACTGCATTCAACATGAACACAGGGACTGGACTGGGTCAGACTGCAGAGTAAAACTCAGAATCACCCCCGTAACCACGGGAAGGCTGAGGTGAACCGGTTCCCACGGGGCGGGGCGGCGG